ACACAAATAACGAATATTTATCTATTTTTAGCTACTCCGTGAGTTCCTGAAAACCTAGTGCCAGGTATGACTGAGCTTGACTGCGGGGCTCTGGGCGGACCATTGTAAGGCTGCGACATTTCCCAATAAATCTTATGATGTTATCCTCGTCAATTTCACTTCGACAGTGAACCCATTTTTCAGATTTCTAAAACGGATGGTTTGGCCACTAATTTCCACATTAGGTGTGTAATTTTCAGGTGTTCCATGGACTTGTGTTTCGGCAATAGTCGTCTGTACGGGATTCCTAAGAGTTTCTGATATACTCTTTTCTGTACTTGCAGAGGTGTACAGCAAACGTTCTCCCACGTCTTTTGAATTTGTTAGAGAACCTGCACCACTCAAGGCTAAGTCGGGATAGGTTATCGCGAGATGGATGAATTGCGTTGTTTCTTCCGCCATTAGAAGACAATCTCCAGAGGTCACTGCCGTTATTGGCCCATCATCTGGCAAAGCACTCTCACCTCTAAACATGACGTAACCTGTAACAGGATGACTAAGGGTTGACCAAGACTTGGGTGATTTGAGAAATTGAACAACGTGTGCACGAGCATTCTTCCTCAAGACTTTGTAGACCTCGTTATTCTCAGTGTCCTGGGCCGTTTTCAAGTCACTCAGCTGAGCATGATACGATGCAGTCGGTATCAAGACAGCGTACTCGTAGCTAGGGTTTGCCGAGCTATGTTCAAACCACGCCGTACCATATCTTCCAGATGTGCTCGTTTCTCCATCCTCTTTTTTGGATGTCTGCGTTGCGACGGTGACCTTTAACATGGGACTACTGTTCATGGGTATGTAATACAGGTTTCCTTTTGCGTCTGTAAGTGTAGTGCTTGAGGATGACGACGGATTGTGGCTGTAATCAGTCGATGCGACCTTTTCTGTTCCATCAACTTTGATAAAAGACGAAGATGACAGTTTGTCTTGAAATAATGTTGTTTGAGCAATTTTCCTGTTATTATTTTGAAGTACAATGTTACTTCCCAAGCCAACTAAAAGGTTTTCAAACATGAAAACTGACTTTTTGAATCTAAACGTAATGCTCCCACGCCATCCTGATACATCGTATTCCGGTTGCTCAAAGTTCATGCCAAACAGTCCGCTCTTCGAGGTCATTGTCCCCTTAAAAGTGAGTCCTCCTGAAAATTTGCGTTTATTGTAAAATCTCCCGGTTCTACCAATATTTAAGTCATCTATGTTCGGATTTCCTAAGGCGATAGTAGTAGTACCAGGAATTTTAGACCAATCCCATCCGTTTTCAATATCATGACACTGAAGGGATGTTTCATCATTTGCGATAAGGACGGCACCATGACTGGCAAATAACCCGAGCACATTTTCGTCCGCTGAAGTTTCGTAGTCCCAGACAAAGTTATTGAAACCTTTTACAGTCACTGCCCAAGTCTTACGTCGATGTATAGAAAGAGCGGCGAAGTTCTTGGACCAATGACCTTCAAGGTACTGCTCTTGCGATTTGCCTTGTAATACGGCAGAGGATTTAACCTATTAACGTAAAAGCACACGAACATAACATTTTGAGCATGTTCCAATTTGAGTGACAAATGCTTCATGGAAATTCAACTTCTTTGTTACGCTACATCTCAGTTGGGGAAATGATGTATGTAAAGCACGGAAGGTGCTGATAGCATCATCTTTTGCAAAGCTAAGAAGGTCATCGTCATTACTTGGGGTACTATAAATAAAACCTTAGATGATTTACCCTAAGTAAATCATGCAACGTTACCATAAACCAGTTCAAACTATCTCGAATTAATTTATGTACTTACTGCTTCCATTATCTGCAAAGATCCCAGACTGTTGAAATAGTACTTTTTTTTGTTTGGCGCTCCATCCTCTAGATAACTGTTGACAGTTGAGTCATTGTATAACCGCAGGAACCATTCTGGATTATTCAAACTGCTTACACTTATACCTGTTGGCACTGAGGTCGGTAAAGTAGACGGATAAGATACACTGATGTATGCATAGGCAGGAAGATTCTTCACGAGAACCTTGTTCGAGTATTCTGGGTAACGTCCGCTTACACTGGGTGGAGTGGAGTACTTGACTGCCATGAGTCGTAGTGCTTCTAGTCCTCCTTGGATATGGTTCACGCTTGTCGAAGATAAGGCATACTTAGTTCCTCCCTGAAGATATTGAACTAGAGCTGCGTTATGAAGGGCTGGTGGACCGTAGGCTGATCCGTAGAACGATTTATGGTGATACACCAAGTAGTCTGGTTTTATTAGTCCTCCAAGACCTTCATTGATAGACAACGTGTTATTCTGCCACCGACTCAAGGCATCCATGTCACGGATTTTAGCTTTGATTTCATCATCAGTATTAGTCGGCATCACAAGTACAATAATAAGTCTATACAGCATTAGCGTGATCATACGGTCAGCAGTCGTTCCTTTTAATTCAAAAGATGGCGTTTGATAGATCTCTCCAAAGTCGTTGTACCATTTTGCTGACGCTATCAAATCCCGTAATCTGCTTTGGTTGAGAGGATTACACATAGAGTCACTAAGGAGAAACAGAGAGTGCATGAACCCAGCACCATCCAGGTTCATTTCATGGTCCAGGGATCCCAAGCCACTGCCATCTGTAAATCCTTGATCCCTTGCGAAATCAAGAAGGTTGTTTATCCTACTCAGCCGATGACGGTTAAGGGTTTCTATTGCAGCCTTAATTTGATCCACAGTCAGTGTTCAAGAGTCAGGCAAATACGATTCAAAAAATGCCTTCATATTGTTGTTTTTTCCTGCAATGGTCTTTTTCGCTATTACTCTCTTACATACATTGTTTATATTTGACCGCTGTTCTGTGGCAACTGCTGTTATTTCGTTTGTACGCGAGCTTAGATGGTATTCTAGTGTTAGTGGTAGGAGAATTTTAATCATGATATCTCCAAATTTAACATTGGGTTCACAATTTCTGCAAAACAAAGGAGGTCCTACAATCTGTTTAGTTACCGGATCAAAGGTTAAATCATCGTATTTATCATGTGCTCTATTGAAACTTTTCTTTAGGGTCTTCCATCGTTCTTCCAGAGCGCTTCCACTGGGGTAGTTAGGTGACGTTACAGTCTCATCCGAATACCAGTTCTTTAGGCGGTTTTTGATATGATCCAAATGGTTTCTTTTTTCTACGTCAATAGTACTTGGTGACGCTGGGATTTCCTGCTGACTCCACCGATACGTCTGTTGCCAAAAGTCGCTTTTGTCGTAGCAATTCAAACCAAATGGACTTATTGGGGGAACAACTTTGTCCCGTGATTGCTTTCTAATATTACACTTAAACTCCAGCTTGTCTATAAAAGCGGTTTGAGCTCCGTTTCCCATAAAGTTGACCTCATCGATAACAGTTGGGCTATCTAAGCTATTGTCCGCTGCCCTGCATTCTTTAAATTCGACCCAAATCCCACGCCATCCTTTAAAGTCATTTGCGATGAAACTTCCAACAGTGGTCGAAGAATATTTGAATTCCACTTGCAGTGTTTTTCCTGACATCGCTTCTTTGTAGATCCAGACTTTGACGCCACCATCTCCCTGACAACTGTTAGGAATGGTAAACGTTGGCGATTTCAACTGCAACTTTGATGCACCAGTGGTTTCCCATTTCAGAGATGATGATCCATATTTGACAGTCTTTTTATGGTTAGAAAGGGTTATCGTTCCAGCCGCCGGCGAGACAATAGTCTGAAAGCATCTCAACTGTGCCGCACTCTCAAAGTCAAATGTCGTATCATAAGGGCAATCAGGTGGAGCTTGGGCTGAAAAAAGAAGAGTACGTGCAGATTTACATTGAATGACGTTCTTTCACCTTTTTTATTCAGAACATACTCCTAATAGTTAGGGATCTAAGCCAGCAGTCCGTTCGTAGAAATTTTCTTCTCTATATATACGTCCTTGACGGCAATTAAATATCATTTCAATATCGCAAGTGAAGTATATATTCGTTTGACTCATCATATCACATTTGCATGAAAACGTGAAACTCAATCGATTCACCAAAGCCTTGATATTAACTACTTCTCTTGGGTTTGAGACAATTAGAGACAAATGCCAGCGCAGCCCTATTTTTATCAAAGACTTTCTGTCTGGTTCTAGGATCTGTTAAGCGGATTTAAACCGGATGATTTTCATCCTAAGGCAAAACTTTGATGCCCTTGATGAACACCAATGGTAAATAAAGATTCGTCTCCAAACGTTGTGCATCAGGTCGAAAGTCAGCTTTAGCAACTCTATAGGTACCCAATTTACATTACCAAACTTGATAAAATTGACGAATGAAAATTATTGGATATTTATCAGTGATAAAATATCGGGACCTAAACGATCCATTAAGATCACCGATCACCTCACGTGCACCTCCGCCAATGTAATCTATTGCATAACTTGCACTTATTGCAAAAAGATATACATCGGCGAAACAGGCAGAAGACTAGGTGACCGATTCCGAGAACACCTTCGAGACGTGGAAAGGAATGACAAGGACACATTGAAACCAGTCGCTAGACATTTTAATTTACCTAATCATTCTAAGCAACATATGGCAATCTGCGGTCTTTCCTTACACTTAGGTAGCACGGAAAGCCGTAAAAATCTTGAACAAAAGCTCATCTTTCAAACCGGCAGTCTAAATCCCACAGGGATCAACGAACGCTTTTCATTCCACTAATTTATTCTTGTTTTTCTCGTTGCCATGTTCCCACCAATAACGTAGCTCCATTTTCTGCCTTTAAAAGCACACACAACCCACAATTCCTCTATTCGCTCCGACGAAGGGCTAACGCTCGAAACGTCAGCTTTTGTAATCGTTACGGTGGCCAATTTACCACTTCAACTTTGTTGATATATCCAAATTATTTCGTTAGTCCCACCGACGCAGCCCCAAACAGTTTCTTTCGAAACTATCAGCCCTTAGTTTCAATTGTAGTTCCCATATTTTGAGGAGAAGTATTTTACTGTGTCCGGCGATCTTGGCTATATGATTTAGGATACCATATTTTCATATTTTCTTACCATATTTTCTTGGGTATAGTGCTTTGCTAGCTTGCTTAACCCGCAGGGGTACTACTTTAAAGTGACAAAAGACTCACCTCGAACGCAAGTTTTGAAAACCGTCAGGAACAGGGGGGATATTTGCAGCAGAACCAGGGTGCCGAACATCTTCTCTGTTTGGGTCTGTTGGTGGGTAATAATAAGTCCAATCGAATGATTACCATTAATTGAACCATATCAGGAATATGTATGTAATAAATAAAGAAAATACCAGTCAGTTTCGGCAGTTATAATTAATGACTGCATGATGCTCGAACGGGCACTTAAACAGCTGCCAAAAAGTTCCCAAAGAAGTGGTGTAGGGTAATTCATGATTCATGGGCTCAAAGAACAGATTGAACCCCAAGGCTATTTAAGATTGGAAAGCTTCGCCAATACTGAGTTTAATCGAGGGGGATTTCTTACGCCCAACTCAGAGAGGTGACTGGCAAAAAATTGTCAAGCCACCTCACAAGATGATTTTCTTCAAAATAGGCACCGAAATCCTAGTTCTTAATTATTTTAATCATTGTTGTCAGATAAACGAAGGTTAGATGATTTTCATACTTGCATCGCTTGTATCAACAACATTTATCAAATTTTCTGAAGAGAAAAATATTCTCATTTCTTGAAAGAAAATCGATCGAAGCTGCCGGACAAGAAAAAGGAAGAAAGGCCATGAAAGGAATGCTTAGAAAGCTTTGAGATGATCGGTCGTCAAAATGAAACAGATCTCTAAGGAATATTCCAACTTTATACATTTAATATGGAAAAATTTCAGAACATACTTTTTATCGAAAAAAATGTATTGTTAAACCCAATACGTATACAGGGGAAACTAACCCTGAATTAAGAAATTATGTAAGAATTAAGAAGCAACGGAGGCAGGCTCCTTGCCTAAATTAAACTTACCGCTTTAAAAATCCTCAAAACACCCACGTTTATACAAAAAAAAAAAACAAAAAGCCGAAAAGGCAGTAATAAAACAAAACGAAAATATTAAAACTTAAAACTTATGCAGATTAAGTAATATTACTTTGAACTGGAAAGAACAGGCTCTTCACGTTATAGAATACTTTTTAAGATATATTAAGCTCGTCAAAGAAAAGTAAAGGCTCTCAGAAGTTAATTTGGAAGGCGGTTGCAAGTGAAATGTGGGCGTAAACAACAAAACTGTTTGAAATAGTTCACATCTGAGCAAAAAGGTCACCCCTGAATTTGAAAAGCCTGGCCTCTATGGGTATGATGCCCCAAGTCAATTGATGACAGTTTAAAATTTTATAAGATTCCTTTGCTATCTTTGGTGTTGTTTTTTTTCTTTTTGCCATATTGTTTTATAACTCTACACTGGATCTTCTCTCTCAAAGAAAACAGAATCACGACGGAGAACAAACTTACCTTACTTGGCTGGCCCTGGTCTTTGATGTTTGATGTTTGATAACTCAAACCTAAATCGTTGTCTCAAAAAGAAATAGGATCGTGATCATATCAGTTGTTAAACTTACCTTACAGGATTTACAGGACTACTTGGCTAACTTAGGTGTTCTTTTTTGTTTTTTCGTCGCAATGTTTGATAATTTTTCGTAAATTTTCTATATCTCAAACGGAAACGGGACCACGAGGGTTGTGTTAAACTTACCCTATGCCTCTTTTTTCAGGCTCCACGACCAGGCGTGAGCTAAGAATGTTAAGTAATAAAGAAGAATTTGGTGCTCTTTATACTTTGTCTTTTAAATGACTCATCACTGAATCAGTGTTAAGACAGGGTGGAATTATCTCCGTGACTAGTTCGCAGGTGTAGATTCCACAAAATGAATGATGTCCCCTTGAGATATTTGGTACTTGTCACCGCGCTAAATTAATTAGTTCTTCTTCCGTTGAGTTGAGCGTTTCTCCTATTGCTCCACTAATTATCACATAGTCATTTGTCTTGATTTCAAATGTGTCTCCTTGTGGACAACCGAGATCAAAGGTATATCGTTCGCTTTCTTGACAACTTGGAGAAGACGAGCCTGTACCCAAACTCTTTTTCCCAGTTTTCATCATTATTTATGACTGAAGTATGGTAAAAAAATCTGTTCCATTGTCAAGTAAGAAGTGGCCCACTTGGTGATCTCACTGGTACACGCAGACTAAACTGCTGAGCTGAAATATTTGCGATAAATTTATCTTTTACTTTTAATCTGTAGATCTTTTCTCAAAAGACAAGCTAGAAATTGATGGTTTCGAAGAATTTCCTCGAAATAAGAATTCGAACTCTGCAATTTTCATGAAAAGACGTCTGGAAAAGCTAAGAAAAACAGCGGGCGGTACACACCTGTCGGATAGCCGACATTCCAACCTATTGAAACTAGAACAACCGTATCTATCCACCATATTTTCATTTACTTCTGTTTGGAAGGATATGGTGCTGGTTGTCACAGGTATGCCATAGGATAAGTGTGACCATAACAAGCGTGTCCTTAACAACCAGTTTTCAATTAGTTTGCAAAAATAATAAAGTGATATTGTTGTCCGACAACAATATCAATATCACTTCTCCCTCACCAAAGGGCCTTTGGTGAGGGAGCCAAATTTCTCAAAAAAAAAAAAACCTTTCGGCGACAGTTACCGGCGTTTCGTTAACGTGATTAAAACCTATCATCAGAGTGAAGCAATGAGTGGTTTCGCGGTGGGACGTTAGAATAAATTGCATCAAAATTCTCTGACTTTCGACACACCTCTAGATAACTGTTGACAGTTGAGTCA